ATGTTTTTTGTGTAGGAAGAAATTATTTCAACAAAATTGAAATATCATATTTATTTTATTATTATTTTTCCTCTCAAAAGAAAAAACTTTGACCAGGGCATGTTTATTGATATGGGCCTGAGTAGGTCAATTCAGATCATTTCTATGGTTCAGCGACGCACTTTTCATGACAGCACCGCTGTCGGAATATCGCGGAACTAAAATACTGCTCAGTTTCATGGCTTCACGTCAATTTCACTCGTAATATACAAACGAAATTTTTAGATGCACCTTTCTCTTAAACTAAAACTCCTACCGCGTTTCTAAAAGCATGGGATTGTTCGTTTAGGTTTTCCGCAATACGCCAGCTACTTTTCATGAACGTGCAAGATCTGAAACTCTTATATGCAACACATATTGTGATGTGTTGACTACAGAAGCCGATAACAAAACTGTAAGTCTTTAATTTTTTTTCGTTTTTCGTATTCAAATGTAGCTGGCGATTTGCATTGTTGTCGATACTTTAATTGTGGAGAAGGATTTTTCAGTCCATAAACACAGTTATGAGAAAGGTGCTTTTAAAATTTAATGATAAAACAAGACACTCCAGCATCCCCTTAAGTACCTCGCGTCTTGATAACTCCAACTTAGATAGAGTCAATTTAGATAGTTCTCGGTCTTCATGTCCTTTGCGGCAATTATGAAGAAATCTAATGCAATAGGCAAGTATTCGCTCAATCCTTGTGAACGTTGAACAGTTTGTGATGAGTGTGTTGATTGTTTCGTTGGAAACCAATAATTGAGGTACGATTGCAAACTGCTGTGAGTTGCTTAGCTTCAATCTCGGCTCTGTGTACATCCTCGGCGAATTCCAAATCGAAACTTTCTTCGCTTGTGTTGGGACGAATATATGACAACTATTTAGGGTCATTCCACCATAGGGAATTATTCTTCAGCTGAGCAGGTGAAACTTCTCTTGAGATCAGATCTGCGGGATTCTCCGAACCCTTTACACGGTTCCAATGAATAGCAGGCAATATTTCGCTAATTTCCGACACACGTTGGATATGAAAGTTTTACAACGCACTATGTCGCCACGAAACCAGTACAGCACGACCATGGAATTAGACCATGCCCGTATTTCATCGATTTCAATGTGGATGGCGTGTTTTACATTATTGATCAATTTACATAGTAATAACGCGCTACATAGTTCTAACCTAGGTATAGATTGCTTCTTTAAAGGGACTACTCTCGCTTTCGCGCATAATAACCTAACTGTCGTTTCTTCGCTTACCGATCGTATGTAGATACATGTGCCATATGCTTTCTCGGAAGCGTCACAAAATGGAATATCGACAATTCTTTGATACACCTACAACTAATCGAGGAACATATAACTCGTGAGTATTATTTAAGGAATCTCGGAATTCCTTCCACTTGTCTTGCACCGAATCTAGGAGTGGATCGTCCCAGCCTGTCTTGATTTCCCAAAGACTTTGCATCAGGATTTTAGCTACCGTTAAAATGGGACCTATCAATCCCAAAGGATCGAATAGTTTACCAATTGCAGACAGCATCTCGCGCTTTGTGGACGCATGATCTATTGTATTTGTGGTAAACTGAAGTCTGTCCGAATTTGGCTTCCATTCGAGCTCCAAAGCCCGAATAGTATCATTCGCATCAATCTTGAAACTAGAATTAGATTCACAGAGTGCGGATTAGATTCAGCTCGTGCGGAATCCTCCTTTCAGTGCGTCGTCAGAATTAGAGCACCATTTGTGCGCTTCGAATCCTTCTTCTCGTAATAACATAGTTAACTGTTCTTGCAAAGAACGAGCATTTTCAATCGTGCTAGTCCCCGAAATTATATCGTCGACATAAGTATCATTCAATAAAATATGAGACGCAAGCGGATAACTCTCTTTACCCTCCTCACCTAGTTGTCTCAAATAACGTACTGCCAAGTAAGACGCACAAGTTTGGCCATACGTAACAGTATTTAAGCGATACTCTTGTACAAGTTGCTCAGGCGAAAATCTCCATAAAATTCGTTGAAAATCGCGATCGTCTTTCTAAACCAACACATGGCGATACATTTTCTGTAAATCGGCCGTTAAAGCGATTTTGTAAGTATGAAAACGAATAATTATGTCGATTAAGCCATCTTGTAAAACGGGTCCGATCAAAAGAGCATCATTTAAAGACGCCCTTATTATTTTTAGCGGATGCATCAAATACAACACGTAATTTTGTACTAGTACTAGATTCTTTTAACACCCCATGATGAGGCAAATAGACCGCGCCTTTGCAATCATCAGACTGAGATTTCAGGACTGACATGTGATCTAACTCGATATATTCTCGCATGAACTTAACATAACGATCTCGCATGACTTCATTGTTCTTGAGTGTGCGTTCCAAACGCATTAAACGCTTCAAAGTTACTTCTCGGTTATCACCAATAGGTAAATTCGCATCGCGGAAAGGTAATTTTACTATGAATCTACCATTGCTTGTTCGCGTGACAGTTTGCTCGAAATGCTGCTCGCATCTTTTCTCGTCTATTGATAACGCTCTCGTTTTGTCGCTGTCGTAATTTTCCAGAATCTTTTCAGACATTCCTTTAACCCATCGCGAGGCTCCACCGAACAAACTAATGCGCTTGTCGCTCCCCTGTCGATGGCCGAATCCCTGCCGGGATTAACGGAACCTGCTACGATCCATCCAAGTCGTATTTTGTAAAACTAGTTGATCCTGCCCAAGCTTGATTTTACCTCTAACAAGTCAAAGAAATATTCCGCCCCTAGTAACATGTCTATTGGATCGTTATTGTGGAATTCTGAGTCAGCTAATACAAGATTACTCGGTATCTGTAGCTTGTCACGATCTATATTCGTGGACGGCAAATTCTTGGTAATTTTGGATACAATCAGACATTGAACACTGGCCTGGAAATTGGAACACCTCGACTTTACATGAACTTCGCAAATACTGTGAATCTTGTTTTCAATCTCGTTTAGACCGGTCACAATTTCGAAGGCCCTATTTTTCTTCAACCCTAGTTTGTTGTACGCAGCTTGAGTGACAAAGTTTGCCTCACTGGCACTATCAAGAAGTCGCAAATCGGAATTAGCGAGCCATTACATCGCATTGCTTCTAATTTTGCAGTAGCTATGAGAATTCGTTGCCTTTTTACCTTATGATATGCATGATTAACCGCTACATTAGCAACTAATTGATGATTGTTGTCCTGCGGCTCTGATTTTGCAGAGTCCTTGTCAGCCTGCTGTTGATGACATGTATTGTGCCTCCCATTACATTCTCGATAGGAATTCCTTTTGCATGCCTTTACGTAATGGTCGTTTCTGAGGCAATTTATGCATAGCTTTATGCGACGCTTGACTTCCTTGATTTGATCGGCAACCGACAGAGCTAGAAATTTCTCACAAACAAATAAAAGATGTGATCCATCGCAGAGGAAAACTTATTCAGAGAAGAGGTTAGAGAACTTGTTTTGAGCTTTCCAGCTTGCAATTTAGAATGCCCATGAGAGCCCTTGCTGCGCAGCTCCTTTTCTTTGAGAGCCCTGTCATTTGATCGTGACTCGATACGCTCTAAAATGAGGCTTCTATTTTTTAGAAATTCCAGCATGTCGTTTAACGTCACTGTTTCGCTAGATTTCGTTTCCTCTTCCCATGCTCGAAGAGTTTTCACATCGAACTTGTCTTCCATCATGTGCATGATCAGATCATCCCATGAATCGAATAGATAATCCTAGAATCTTTAACATGCGTAGGTGCCTGGAAATATAATCGATTAACTCGCGAAGAGCCTTCGCTGTCTCTTTTGCTACGACGGGCATTGTGAACAAACATTCGATATGTTTTTTCTTGAGCGACCTAGGATCATCATATCTACTTAGCAGTAATTCCCATCGAATAATCGCCATTGAATAATTTTGACCCGTTAGCTCGATTGACTCAATAATTTTAGCGACGTCCCCTGAGATTGACGAAACTAAATATTGAAACTTTTCGACATCAGACAGTTGCAGTCTGACATGTATAATTGATCGAAAGCTGTCAGAAAAAGCTTTCCAATTCTCGATTTTGCCATCAAATCTCGGTAGTTTGATAGTAGGCAACTTTACTCTAGTATCTGCGTTAATCGTGCTTGCATTGTTTGCCACATGGTCAAGTATGTCGGTTTGTCGCGCGAGAATGGCCGACAACGTCTCGTTATTACTACGCGGTGTCATGGCGTCCGCGCCTTCGTGCTGAGCATCGCGACGCATTTCTTGAGCTCGGTTTGCTGTTGCAACAACCGAATAACCGCGGTACAGCGTCCGACGCCGACGATAACTTCATGCATCGTTTTAACAAAGATTTTACCTCAAAATATCTTTCCTCGCAACATTCTTGCTCTAGTGCGTCCTTGTCGTTGAATTCGCCCTCTTTTTCTAGTAATTGCTGTTGTATGGACTCACACTCCTTGTACTGGGTCTCAGAGCACCCGTACCACCCTTTTAAAAGGTAGGGATGTGTTTGTACAAAAAAATGGTTCAGACAAAATTTGCAGGATTTCGGGAGATCTATCTGATGGTGACCTTGAATTTGACCTTGAGGTCGACCTTGGGCATAACTCAAGGTCAAAGTACCGTTTTACAAATGTAAAGCCTTATTCATGACATCACAAATGAAAATAGCGGAAAATTTTACGTCCGAATACGTTATCAAGCCTAGGTCAAAATTACAAAATACATGCGTACATACGTACATCATACGTGAAACGACAAAAAAAAACAAATGTTGGCTGTTGTTTACCTAAACGGAATACGATAGCGCGTCGAGGTATAGGATGAATGGATGGATGGATGGGAAGTAAAGAAAATACATATATAGTGATGTGAACGAAAAAATTTTTTATCAATTTACATTGTTTCTTTTTTGTATTAAAAACTAAAACCAATAGCTTGTAATCGATGTGCTGATGTTTGTTAAAGATGTTACTATCGTGTATTGTATCTTCGAACGCGATGTTGGAGAATCGCGTATATTTGACATCGACCGTATCGACGAGTCGGACTAATCGTTCGAATTACATCGATACATCCGTCAAACGCAAACATACATCGTAGTGTCGTTTCGGTTATTATGATGCGTACGGATGAAGAAACGTATGAGCATAGCATCGTTCAGCATGCAAACGCTGATGGTTAGCGGTCCAACACTTATAAAACCCTGTCCTTGTATTCATTTCGCAGCATCTTGTAAATACATGTATAATAGCATATGCGAGATCTCATCGTTGAAGATACGATACCGTATTTAGAACTGTGCGTTATTATTGGCGCGACTTTATCGCGAAGTGAAAGAGACCTTAGCAATCGTGCTCAAAGGTATAGATTTTTTGCGATTCAACGATAGTGTAATTATCTCGATATTCCTGACGCGTCCAAAATTAAAACTACAGTACAATCACGAAAGTGCTTGTGCCGTTAAACAACATATCAGGTATATAAAAAATCTGATATCAATAATTGGAGCTACATTATAATCTTTAAAAATTGTGAATAAATGATGTGTCGAAAAAAAAAGTTATATTTATTAAAAGTAAAATTAAAAAGAAAGACCCAAGTGGTACTTTACTATATGATGTTACGTATCTTTTTAGATTCTCATTGAAGGCCTTTTTATTTCAACGTCTTAAGAAATAGTAACTTTAATTCTTAAAAAATATTTTCATTCAATGTCTTCCTGTTCCAACACAAGAAATAATAGCTTTAGTTTTCTTCAAACAACATATAAAAATTGTCACAAAATTTACTTGCACAAGTATACTTCACAAGTTACTTAGTAGATATATTAGGCGGGTTCTGGACCATGGGGCTAGAGGGGGGCGCGGGGCGTGGGAGGTACTCGTAGGCGCAGAGGAAGGGACGGGGGAGGCGCGAGAAGTCCCCGTTGCAGGCGTCGGCGCCACCGCCGCCACCGCCACCGACCACAAAATGCGTTTCGGGTCGCTGCCGTAGATCCCACACCCATCCCAAAGCATAGTGCGTTCTCACAGTTCTTTCTTTCAAGGTCAGAAGCATTGATAATAATATTTATCTAGAACCGTGAGATCGGTCGCAAAAAAAGAGATACCGATAACGATATTTTTTCTAAGAAGAGATCGGTGACATGTTCGATGCTGCAACCTAATAGGGATGGTATACAAAGCGACAAAGAAGTCGCAAATGAAATATATAATGGGTCATAAGCGCGCGGCACCTCAATTGGCGCCATTAAAGATTATCGAATCGATCGCAATAAGTGTAATGCGAAAAGTATGGCTGACCATCGTGCGAACATGGTAAATGCAGACAAGTTATTTAAAGCAATGGAAATAGAATTGAGGACATAATGGACGATGTAGAGTTCGAGAATATCAGAAACATTGAGAATATGCACGATGCAGAGTTTGAGAATATCGAAAACATTGAAGACATGGACGATGTAGAATTCGAGAATATCGGAAACGCAAATATTAAAGACGAAGAGTTTGATGAAATGGAAGTAGATTTTGAGAATATAATGGACCAAGAGTCGTCTGACGAAGAAATGCTATCCGACGATAGTGAATGTGCTAATGATATGAGCGATGAAATGGATCGCGTAGAAAAATTCGTGTCGTCTCCAGAAATTCATACGTTGAACTCTCGTACTGTATGATCTACAATTATTATACAACGGTGTTTTAACCGTATGCACATCATGCATAATTCGTATAGCTGATATTAACAATGAAGGAATGTATCACGTCAGGAAGCATGAGACCGATTCTTTCGATAGGCTGAACGGCAGATTGTGCACGAATTACAGAGTGCCTTTATTTATATTCTCGTGCAGTATATGCACTCTGCACACATTAAAAAAATGAATGCAAAAAAAGTGTCTGAACATTGTGATTCGCGGAGGAGAGACAAAGATGCGCGAATATCGCCGGTGCAGTTTCTACGCGATCAAGAAATAGATACATGTCGTGCGAAACAGGGAGTCATCAATGACGATAACGATGATGAAAAAGAATATTGGTTCGGACGGTTAGGAGACGAAACGGTGCACATTGACTTCAAAGAGAGATTTTGGTACAAAGCTTTCGGTTTAATAAAAGAACAGTGTTATCATTCAATGAAAAGTGAAGAAAAGATTCAATATAGCTGCAGGCGTATTAAGATTCCAGCGGGTGGTGAGAAGTGATGATAACGGACAAGTTAGTGATGCCATACTACGACCACGAGGAGAATCCTGCTAAAAAAGTGTTTCATGACCTGTGTGATAAGTATATGCGTAATCAATTATGCTACCCCTGTAAAGAGTGTACTAAAGAATCTACTTTAGTAGACGAACATAATACCAAGATGATAAAACATTATGACATTCTAGATGTAAAGCAACGTGCAGCAACGTGTGTGAACGAGTCAAGTGCTCCGTATAAGAGTGTGATCTAAAGACTGGAAGTGCGAAAAAGAAGTATGGAAAACCACGAGCGAGTGGAATGCGAACGGTTGGAACAGTGCGGCCAGATCGCTACTCTGGTGGAGTGTTTCGCGTGGCTGCAATGATACGACGAATACATCAAGCAATTTGAAGAACTTTGTCGTGCCAAGCGTCCGCGCCTCACCATTGGACACAGACAAAATCCACGGTGACGAGGATCGCGCGACTCGCGGGTGCAAAGTCATAATTGGAGCGATGTTTTATGCACATTGGTGACGAGTGGCAATGAACGATCTCTTGTCTGGCGAGAAATCAATGCCGCGTTCGAGAGTCGTATATTGACAGGTGCGGTGATAAATTTTAATTACATCGAGCCGCGGCAGTTTTTAGAAAACGTTGGCAATGTAGAGCGAATGCGAGACGCTGTAGAAAGACACGGTAGTGTAAAAATGAACACCGCGTTCAATGGCGAGTTTGCGACGAAGGATAAACGTGCTAATAAAAGTATAATTACAAAGAACAGCGAGATATATCAATGCACCGACATGCGCGAGTGGTACAAGCGACACGTCGTCGAGTCTATACTAGCATCGCTCGAAGAGCGACGTGACAGCGGGCGGGCATTGTTGCGAATCCTCAACTTGACGTGAACAAACTAAAAATCATCCCCTGCGCGGGATGTCACTTCGAGGTGCCGCGAGAAATTATACTTAAGAAAACGGTGATCAATGTGCATTCGATGGACAATGTATGCTTCGCGTGGTTGATGATAGCCGCTCTATACCCGCCTAAAAGTCATGTGGATAGAAAATCATCGTATCCGCATTATATGACAGTTGAATCTTGCGGATATCGAATTTCCGAACGTTCGAAAGCATTCCGAAATTCGAAAATCTCAACAACATATCGATCAACGTGTACAGCATCGAAGATAAGCAGGTCCTTCCTTTATGGCTCACAGGCGACAAGAAGAAGAAGCATGTAAATCTCTTGTACCTTCAAGATTCACGCAACGACAACATTAGACACTTTGCGTGGATCAAGAACCTGTCGCGTCTCGTGAGCTCGCAGATTAGTAGGAAAAAGAACAAGAAATTTTTTTGCGACCGATAAGTACGATAAAAAAACCAATAAAAAGCAACAAAAAAATGATTTCTCTATTTACAGGTGTCTCCATTACTTCAGCTTGTGCGAAAAATTGCAGTCGCACGAAGTGGACTGCAAGAAGATCAACGACTGCGCCATCTGACTGCCGAGCGAGGATGACAAGTGCATATCCAAATTGGCAACTATAACAATTGGGAACGAGTGCCGTTCATCGTCTATGCTGACCTGGAATACGTCCTACGGAAGACGGAATCCAACAGAGAAGACGCGTCATCGTACGCGTATCAATAGCATCAAACAAGCATTTAGCATAAGCTACTATGTATGATACGCGTACTACGACACTCTATCGTCGTATCACTTCCATCGCGATGAAGACTGTAGCCTGGTTCGCGCGATAACAATTTGGCGCATTGCGTGAAAAATATTGTCCGCCAACGTGCCCATGAAAACGTTGTTTAAACAGCAATGGGAGACGTAGCGCGACGCGTTGTCACATTTGCGAGAAACCGTTCGCGTCGGACGATACGCGAGTCCCGATCATTGTCTCACTGGTAGACACCGCGATCCAGTGCATTCGAATTGTAACTTAAATTATAATAAAAATTCGTTTTATATTCTGGTTGTATTTCACAATTTATCAGGCTACGACGCGCATTTTATAATTAAGGAAATTGCTATCGCATACGATGGATATGTAGATGTA